TGTCTCTGGCTCTCTCGCCGGAAAAGTTTTTTGTTTTTTTTTTTTTTTTGTTTTTTGCGTCCTCATTCTCATGCCTATGGAGCATACGGTATAGGTAGGCGTATGCACACGCATATCAGTAGATCGAGTGGCGGTGACGGCACGTCACGAACAGTTCGAAACTTTCGTCGTCGTTTTTGTCCGAGGTACGCAAAGTACTAAGCAGAAAAAGGGGGGTAAAGAGCAGGGTGAGGACGGTAGGATAAAAGGAATGAACGCGGGTGTAGGGGCATATTGGTTAGAACGATCATATATTGGTGCCCGTAGGGAGTTTCTGAGGTATAAACATCGTGCACATGCGGCATTCCGTGATTGTCGTATATACTTACCTTCCATAGGAAAAAGGCAATGATGCCAATACCAACCACCGCGGGAATGATCGCGGGGGTGTACGGCTTGATGTCTGCCCATGTGAGGCCAGGCGGAACGGAAGGGGTGGCAGGGGTAAGGGCAGTGCCGCTACCACCTGCTCCACCGCGTCCACCACCATCACTACTACCACCCGTACCACCACCAACTGCACCACCAGAGCCACCATCCGGGGAAGTACCAGCAGCAGTCGGACTGCCGGCGGCGCCGCTGCTGGTTGCGCCCGCCTGATTGGGATGCTGGGATGGCGTTGTTGGTTTTGGTTTGGGTGGATTGAGCGGAGGGGGGTCATCATTGGCGCCATCAGCGACCTTATCATCGGATTCACCAGGGGCTGGACTAGTACCCGCTTCACCATCTTTACCTGCTGGAACCGGAGGAACGGGTGCACCGTGCGCAGGCCCAGAAGGAGTGGCTGGCGTAGTCGTCTGAACTGTGGGCGTCTCAGTGTTTTCAACAGGGGCAGGAGAAGCTGGTGGTGCACCTCCTGATCCACTAGATGCTGGTGTTGTGGTTGCTGGGACTTGTGCTGCTGTTTGGTTTTGATCTGTGGTCTCGTTGTTGTCCACTGCTTGAGTTCCTATATGTGTACCCCGGGGTAAAGAAGAACATGGATGAAACCGAAGTTATGTGCGATAGCTGGCCACGGTTCCCGCTTGGCCGCTGTCGGTCGCTTGTTGGTTGGTTGGCCACACGATTGACGGCGGTTGTCCGTCGTTTCACGACATCACCGTCGCTGGATGGTTGACTACGCGGTTCACCGTCGCTGGATGGTTGACCACAGGGTTATGACCACCGTCCGTCCCTGGATGGTTGGCCACGGTGCGAACGGTGGTTGGCTGGTGCCACCCCGGGAAAACACTCTCTCTGTCTCCCACACCACACACAACACACAGACAGTGTGTGTGTGGCGACGTCTGTCGACGTCTACATCCAGCGGCCGACCAGTCGCTCGCTCTCTCCGCCCCGTGGCTCGGCGGCTCACTGTCCCCGTCTCATTCTCATTCGACGTTTGGTTTCTCTCTCTCCGTGGTGTCTCTGGCTCTCTCGCCGGAAAAGTTTTTTGTTTTTTTTTTTGTTTTGTTTTTTGCGTCCTCATTCTCATGCCTATGGAGCATACGGTATAGGTAGGCGTATGCACACGCATATCAGTAGAAGTCCGATTGCCCAGAACACTGTTACCTGTACAGCCGGGAGAGGTATCCGGGGTGCTGAAGGTGATTGTAATGGATGAACCGTCGACGGACCCCTTATCCTCCTGAGTGTGTACTTTACTATTGCACTTGGTGTCTGTGCTCTTACCTGTTGCTCCTTTTTCTCCCTTTGATCCTGACGCCGCACCGCCTGGTGGAGGCGGAGGTGGTGGTGGTCTTGCTGGTAATACTGGAGATGCAGGTGCTTGCGGTCCCGATCCTCGTGCCGATGTTGTGGATCCTGGTGGTGTCCCTACCGAGTCCTCCGCTGCAGCAGTAAAGCAAGGAAGTAAAACCACAACATGATACAAAAAGCGACACAAGTGGTACAGAAAGAAGGGGGCCGGGACGGTGTGGTCAGGTAGCGGCTCGGTGGGGTCAGGTAGCGGCAGGTTAGGGTCGGCTGCATGGATCGAGGTGCACTGGGTGAGGCCGCAGCAAGCGCACGGTGAGGTGAACTCGGTTGACTGGGTCGTGCTGGATGGTAGCAGTGCAACTTTTATTTGTTGTCGCCGTCATCTCGTGCGCTGCGTCCCTCGCCGTCCGCGATCGCCGCTGCCATCGTCGCCGCTCATCGCTCGGCAATTCTACGGTGGCCGCTCGACGTCAGCGACGATTTGCTGTTGCGCCAGCCGTGTGCGTGTTGTTGTGGCGGCATCCATGCGCAGTCGTATGGGCTGCGTATGCGTATTCGGCCGTGTTCGTGTGCGGCCGTATGATTCGTATTAGGCCGTAGTCGTGCTTTCTCCCATCGCTCCTTACCTGCCGATGCTGATATTGCAGATGGGTCATGATCTGCTGGGTTGGGCGGGACTGGTGTGACGGATGTGTGGACGCTCTCTAATGCGCTTTGTACGCATGCGTTGCCCGGAGCAGTGCATTTGCTCACGGTGTCTAATATGTCCTCCATAATGTTCTTCGGATCCTTACTGTGCTTAATGATTTCTATTATTTTTTTCCTTTGTTGTTCTGTCATGCTCTTCCCTGTTTCAATTAATTTGTGTACCACCTTGGCATCCCCTTCTGCGAACATTCTCCCAATTGGCTCCCATTGTCCTTTTGCTCCTGCCCCCAAGTCGGTCTCACTTCCCGTGTTACATTCCGTTTTTGCCCCGGTCCCTACTATTTTTCCCTGTGGCCGTTTTCGTGCCCAATTTCTTATCCACCCTGCCATAGTTGCTGCCACGAACTTCGTCCCTAGTTTTAAGGTCCCATAATCCAAGTTCTTGCACCATGCACTATTATCTGTATATTTAGTTCCTTCCCTCCACGTATTCATGTGCGTGGAAACTGCTTCTACTATTTCCCTATGTTGGCAATTTGTCCAAAATAATTCTACTAAGGCCACATTACCCATTATACACCTTATATACTTCTGAAATTTCCACTTTTGTTCGTTGTCCTTTGCTCTGCTCCATTCGTCCCCATTACGATGTATCCCGTCCATAAAAAGAAAAATGTTCACAATTTGCCTACATATCATTTTCTGTGGCGTCAGTTTGCCGCCTTGCGCACTGTAAATACTGTCGCATATTCCTTTATTGAAGGCGTCTGGTTGCATCAGGTTCGTACCTAACTCCTGGAATATGCGTTCTATGTCACTCCATACTGTAGCCTACACGTAGAATAATTCATATATGAACATTTATCTCGTGCTCTCTACTGTTTCTATGCTGCCTGTGGCCATGCAACAAATGCTTGCAGGCACCACGCTGCCTCTGGCTCGTGGTTGGTATTGTAACTGCCGCGTAAAAATATGAGTACTGTACGTGGCCCTTATATGTATACTGCTCCTACAAATAAACACTGGGGTCACTCGTGGATCCCCAGTTATCCGCGCTCTGATACTCTTTCTCAATATCTTACGCTAAAACTGCCCGTCCCAGTATCCTTGTCATGCGTATCCGCCCTTAGTTGCCTATCCAACACATACTGCGCCAATATCTTGACGAATTCTGTTACACTCATTCTTGCCCTGTTTCCATTAGGTAATCTATAACATTGCACTCTTCACTATTGTATGAATGCTCCATGTGAACTACATAAAACACTACATGGACCATCTACGCATTCTTTTGATATGCCGTCGGTACTACTTATTAGGTGTTTGCCCTGCCTGAATGCATAACACTAGAACTCTATACAGAACAACAACCGCTATTTCTATGCCTCCTAGTTCAATTCTTCTCTTCGAAAACTAATAAATCACGTAGGATGTATATGTAGGAAATAAAGGAAACATGAACATAGGAAGAAAAAAAAGACGAAGAATAGAAGAATGAAAAAAAAAAAAAAAAAAAGAAAAGAAAAAGAAGGACTAAAAAGAAAGCAAAAAAAGAACAACTGCTTACACAACACACCGTCATGAATAACACCCCGTAAAAACAACGCCCCGTTCTCCACTAAACGCCTGCACACACGTTGTCTCTGCGTGCGCACAGCTAAAAACCGCAGTAACAACATCAAATGCTTCTGCCGTCCGTGCCGTCGTTGCTACCGTTGTTGTTGCCGTCGTGGCTGCCGTCGTTGTCGCCTTCCTGGCCTCGTTGTTCGCCGTACCAGAAAATATGTGTGTGCCTTCCTCCGCCCACTCTCTGGATCCATGCGCGGCTGCGTCCGCGGATCGTGCACTCAAAGCAATTACTCTGAGACAATCTCTCCCTCCGTTCTTACACTCGGACAATCCTTCGTCGAATGCGTTTTACACTTGGCCACTTTGCTCGACGCGTTTGCTCGGACAGACAATCGCGCGCCTTCTTACACTCGGCTACAATGCGGTTTACGCGGCCGCGTTTGCTCGGAGAGACAGTCGTCCTCCTTCTTACACTCGGCCAATCGCGTTTACCCGGCCGCTTTGGTCGACGCGTGTGCTCGGAGAGACAATCTCTCCCTCCTTTCGTACACTCGGCTACCTCGTCGACAATCCCGTGTACCCGGCCGCGTTGGTCGACGCGTGTGCTCGGACAGACAATCTCTCCTCCGTTCTTACAGTCGGCTACAATTCTCGTTTACCCGGCCACGTTTGCTCGGAGACAATGGTCCTGCGTGGTGCACGCGGCCGCGTTGGTCGACGCGTGTGCTCGGACGGACAATCCTCCTGCTTCTTACACTGGGACAATCCTTCGTCGAATCGGTCTTACACTCGGCTACTTCGTCGAATCGTTGTTACACTCGGCTACTTCGTCGAAGCGCGTGTGCTCGGAGAGACAATGTCGCCTTATACGCGAATGCTTATTCGCATGCTATATTTGTGCTGCACTATACCCTTAGAATGCACGTGCTCAGCTTTTAATAATTAACTTCACATAAAGGAGAATACTACCCCTTCATATTATTCATTTAAATGTACATATTATATGCATGTAACCGGTACGCACCTGGTCCTATGGTCATGTTAAAAGAAGTTGACTACACAGAAAAAGAAAAAAACAAAGCAAAAGAAAACAGCAAGTAACAGAAGGAAAAAAAAGAGAAGAAAAAAGAAGGAAGGTATGTAATAGTGCAAACAAGAAATATATTACGTATATCACATAATGAAATAAAAGTGGTGTACGGTTAGCATGCGTTATGTCCCATTCATATGCCCCGTCATCCGAATGTCAGAGCTGGTCCAGTAGTTCATCCACATATAACTCCCTATGCTGCATACCCATGACTTCATCCTAATTGCAGAGCTGCTCCAATAGATCATCCACATATAGCTCCGTCTCCTGCATACCCCTGACTTCATCCTAATGTTAACACTGTTGCAATAGAGCATCCACATATAACTCCGTCTCCTGCAAACGACGTTCAACCGCGCACTGTTCTATGACTAATGCCAGGATCGGTATGCATATGTTAGCGGTTAACGGTGTTTTCATGTAAGGTTGCGGATGCAGTTGCGTGCATGGTAAAGCTCTCACTCGTAGCATATCTTCTGCGGCCGGTGCTTTTTCCACGTCTAAGTCTTTTGCGAGTCCAGGTACGTCGCCTTTGTCCGGTACGGTCTCCTCCTCGATATTTTCTAACAAATGTTGAAACCACTCCGCCTTATACATACTCATTTGCCGATGTTGCTGTTCGACCCATTGTTTCCACAACCGCAGTTTCTTCATCGGCGAGGTGGCTGCCTCACCGAATGCACGTTGTCCGTGGTCTTCGTCTGCCGCCATGTGCTCACGCAGGTATTGTTTCCAATCCGCTTTTAAGTGCAAAAACCACGGCTGCGTCGTGCACTCCCGCAGCATATATTTGTTGCGGTCAATCCAGTTAATCCAGTGACGGCAGTCCGGATTTGCGTCTCCGGGACCAGTAGGGGGACGAGCTTGCTCCTGTTCTAACTGTATGGTTTCCATACAATTCCATGGATCGGGGTCGTCTTCATTCGGTGTACATGGGTCCGTTGCTAACTGTATGGTTGCCATGCAACTCCATGGATCGTGGTTATCTTCGTGAGGTGGAGAAGTGTGCGTTGCTAACTCTATAGGTTCCATACACTTCCATGGATCGGGGTCGTGTGCATGCGGTGCACAAGGGTCCGTTTCGAACTGTATGTGTAGCACACAACTCCGTGGATGGGGGTCATCTGCATTAGGTGGACATCGATCCGTTGCTAACGGTATAGTTTCCATACAACTCCATGGGTCATCTTCATGCGGTGGACATGGGGCCGTTGCTAACTGTATGTTTTCCATACAACTCCATGGATCGGGGTCGTCTTCATTCGGTGACCAAGGGCCCGGTCCGTCGATGTCAGTGGGTGTATCCCGCGTTGGTGAATCGGCGTTTGTTGTTGAGTCCTGGGTTGCTAAACCGTCGTCGGGGGTACAGACGTTCGAGCTACTTGTACACGTGTTGTTGCCCCGCATAAACGCGTCCACGACAATCTGCAAATAGTCGTCTTTGACGCTTTCGCATTCGGTTGCTTCACATTCGTTGAGCACTTCTAGATGTAGTTCGATAATCGTGCGTTTATGCACGCGTGGGGGGCGTCGTCGTCGTGCGGCGGGCAATCTGCCGGGCTGCCTATCCCTAACCATGGTGTAGCCGTAATCGGGTGGCGGCAGTTCGCCGCGTTGTAGATGTTGCAATATTTCTTCGTCGAGTGGCAGTGACGGCACGTCACGAACGGTTCGAAACTTTCGTTGTCGGTTGGCGAGGTACGCCAAGTACTAAGCAGAAAAAGGGGGGTAAAGAGGAGGGTGAGGACGGTAGGATAAAAGGAATGAACGTGGGTGTAGCAGTATATGGGTTCAAACGATCATGTATGGAAGCCGCTAGGGATGTTCTGAGGTATAAACGTGCTGCACGTGCGGGATTCCCTGATGGCCTATATATACTTACCTTCCAAAGGGAATAACCAAGTAAGGCGACGGTGACGGCGGACAGGAATAACATTATTGGGGTAGTGGCGGTGAGCACCGCGCCGGTCAGGTCGGGTGCATCAGGACCGCCACGCGAGTTCATACCCCCAGTGCCCGATGTTTTTTCTGTTGGAGTCGCTGGTGCATATCCTTCTCCTATGCTACCTACGGCTGGTGCACGGTCCAAGGATAGTCCAAAGCCACCATCTGAATCTGTAGGCTGAGAACCCGTACCCTGTGCGTTATTGGGTTGCGTGGACGGGTCGGATCCTGGTCTTGAGGAACCAGGGGGTTGGTGACCAGTAGAACCTGGAGTGGAGGGGTCTGAAGCGGAGGATGAGGAACTGCCACTTCCTCCCCCACCTCCTCCTGGTCCTCCTTGACCTCTTCCTCCACCGTGTTCAGTACCATCTGCTAGACTGGCCCCGCCGGTGCCGCTGGGGCTACTGCCAGTCTGATTTGGGTTCGGGTTCGGTTTTGGTTTGGGTGGATTGAGAGGAGGTGGGTCATCGTTGCCGCCATCGATGACGTCATCCTTACCGCTGCTGCCGGCTGCACCGGTTGCACCGTTTTCACCTGCTGCACCTGGTTGACCAATGGGACCAGGGGATACCGCGGCTGGTCCACTGGAGGATGTTGTTGTGGTTGTTGGTGCTGGTTCTGCTTCTGCTTTCGGTGCTGCCGCTGCTGGTGCTGCTGGGTTTGCTGGGGGTGCTGGTGCCGGTGCGGGGGCGGGTGCCGGCGGTGAATCCTCCTGACCGTTACCTGTCGTGATCTGTGTAGTTCCAGTACCTGTGAGTTGGAACGAAAAGGAAGAATATGGACATAACTCAAGTGTTGTGCGGTGGATGGTCATGGTCCTCCACATGGTCGGTCGCATGGTGCACGAGGGTATGATGCCACAGTGCCAACGGTGGTTGGCAGGTGCCACCCCCGGGAAAAGACTCTCTCTCTCTCCCACAACACTCACAACACACACACAGTGTGTGAGGCGACCTGTCCATCTGTCGACGTCTACGTCTAGCTGTCTACATCCACCGGCCGCCCCGTCGATCTGCGCATCGCATTCTCATTCGACGTGTGGTTGTTCTCGCTGCCTCTCTCCGTGTTCTCTCCTGAAATGTGGTTTCTTTTGTGTGTTCTACAATGATAATATTGATCGTAGGGTATGTGTACCCTGCTGCGCAGTAATGGGAAAGATTCGAGTACCTTGTACATTAGTTTCCCCGCTGGGAGCACGCTCTCGTTTATCATTTTTTGTGTTCTCCACAGTTTTCGGGGTGGACTTTGCTCTTTCCGCCTGTTCTGCGAGTTCCTTCAGAAATTTACATGGTGCTGCCGCCCCATAATTGTAAGTAACAGGCGTAATACTAACACTTGCAGCACCGGAGGATATGACAGTAGTGCTCTGTGGACCGGAGTCCGTGTTTTCACATGTGCTCTTGTAGTCGTCAACCGCGGACGATCCCGGTTGTCGTGGTTCTGGCGTGGGCGAAAGTATTGTTGGTGGTATTGTTTTTGTTGATCCCAGGGGTGTGCATATAATTATGAATCCTCCTTTTTTGTTTGAATCATTGTACACTGACCCTCGCGTTCTTATATGCCTCGCCCTCAGTCTTCTTTCATCTTACCTTTACTATCTGGAGCTGGTCCAGCAGCTGCCCCTGATGCGGGATCCCCCTGTGTTCCGGTTGGACCTGATACCCCCGTTGCTACTGTTTCGCCCTGTGAGCCTGTGCCCTCACTGGCTGGTAGAGGTGCTGGTGCCTGCTCTGGAGATGCCGGTGCTTGTGGTTGCGATCCTCGTGCCGATGTTGTGGATCCTGGTGGTGTCCCTACCGAGTCCTCCGCTGCAGCAGTAAAGCAAGGAAGTAAAACCACAACATGATACAAAAAGCGACACAAGTGGTACAGAAAGAAGGGGGCCGGGACGGTGTGGTCAGGTAGCGGCTCGGTGGGGTCAGGTAGCGGCAGGTTAGGGTCGGCTGCATGGATCGAGGTGCACTGGGTGAGGCCGCAGCAAGCGCACGGTGAGGTGAACTCGGTTGACTGGGTCGTGCTGGATGGTAGCAGTGCAACTTTTATTTGTTGTCGCCGTCATCTCGTGCGCTGCGTCCCTCGCCGTCCGCGATCGCCGCTGCCATCGTCGCCGCTCATCGCTCGGCAATTCTACGGTGGTCGCTCGACGTCAGCGACGATTTGCTGTTGCGCCAGCCGTGTGCGTGTTGTTGTGGCGGCATCCATGCGCAGTCGTATGGGCTGCGTATGCGTATTCGGCCGTATTCGTCTTCTTACCGTTCGTTCCCGCCTCTTCCCGTTCCCTAATGGTCTCTTCTAACACCTTTATTGTCTTTAATAACTCTGTTCCACATGCCTCCTGGCCATTACTACATCGTGATACTGTCACTAATACGTCCGTCACTTCTTCCTGCATGTGGTTAACTATTTGTTGTGCTGTCTTTTTTACCTCCTCCTTTACGGCCTCCAGTTTTGTCTTCCCCTCCTCATCGTTAGCTGTAATTGTACCATCCTGCCGTAGCTGTAGTTGATATGTCTTCCAATCTTTAGTACAGTCCATGGTGCGTTCCATGTGGGTTATTTTCTCCATTACTCTCCATTGCAGAAGTAACCATGTGGCCATTTCTCCATTGATTATTCCGGGTGGCCTCCAACTACCTTCGTAACCACATTGTGTGCACCTCTTGTCCGTAACAGGCCCAGGTGGCAGTCCCGTTCCTAATTTCTCATCCCCCATGTTCTGGAATGTTTTCCAAGCGTACTCCACACCCCTCTTCCATCCTGGATGAGGTTTACAGTAAAGATGTTTCAGTATGTACCCAAAGGTGTTTACAACTTCACACCTCATCCTTTCGTCCTCTATATCCTTCGGTGCTGTGTGTGTTGATTCGTTCGCAAACCACAGTGCAGTACTCATAAGTCTACATCTCATCATGTCCGCCACCGTTTGCCCCGTATGGTATTCCCCTTGTTTGAAATCTTCCCAACCTGCATTATTACAGTTTGAACCCAAGGCCTCCATGTACCCAGCCTGGTTGTCCATGTACTTCACAAATTCTTCAAGAACTTTGTTCAACGCGTTGCGTTCCGCATCCTATATTTTACATATGAATATATGGAAATACATTTTCGCATACATTTGGCACATTGTACCGCGCAAGAGCTTGTGCACTATCATATATATATCGCATGCATTAATTTCTCTTCTTTCCGTCAGCTCTGTTCGTCCTCGTGATGTACTGCGTGTATTCTAACTTACACTATAAGTACCCAGCACGTGTACTGTCCTCTTGGTGTCGTGCAATGTGCTCCTCCAATCACAAGTATCTGCTGTTGCGGCCTGCTTCCCCTTCCCGGCTTCAGGGCCACCATCCTGACCACCACCAGATGATGTCGTCGTCGTTACCGTATTCTTCGTTCCCTGGTCCGCCGGTTTCGCCCCTACTGGTTTGGCAGCGGTGGCCGGCTTGGCTGGTGCTGCGGCTGGTGGTTGGCCATCGGCGGGTGTGGCGACGGCCCCACCTCCATGACATGCATGATCGTTTTCTGACCTGCCCGGTGTTGATGATGTTGTTGTGGATGCTGATGATCCTGATGATGATGGTGTTGCGTCTGTGCCCTGTGACGGCCCCGACGGTCCCGACTGTCCATGTGCTTGCGCAGGTCTCGGTGAGGAGTCCGTCTGATTATTTTCCTTGTCCCTCTCCTGCTGTAATAACGTGTTTACACAGTTGATGTCCGTACGAGGACAGGCTTTTATGCTTTCTTTTATTTGGTCCACCTTTTTTCCTATATCATCCCCCACCTTTCCCACTTCCTCCTTCACTGTCGTCTTCAAGTTTTGCACTCCCGATGTGCCTGTTCTGTCGACTTTACAATCCTCCCGCAGTACTCCATAATCCCC